GCCAACCCCCCAATCCCGCCCATCCACTACTGCTATTCGTCATTCGTGGTTTTTTAGGACGTCAACAAAATCTCTCCCGCAGTTCACAAAGCCGTCCATCATCGAGCCCAACACGACCACCGTCGTGTTCGACACGATGACGGGTTGAGCGCGGGCATGTACGCCACGTGCTGAACATGACCCCACCATCGTGTTCAATCCGATGATGGTCGCTGTCACCAAGTCGAGCACGACCGTGGTGGCACCCCCCGACCTCACCGTTGTGTTCAACCTGATGACGGTCGCTGTCATCGTATCGAACATGACTGCAGTGGCAGCCCACAACCCCACGGTTGTGCTCGACTCGGTGACAGCGACCGTAATCGGATTGAACATGATGGCGCGGTCATGTTCAGCACGTGCCGTGCAAGCCCGCGCTCAACCCGTCATCGTGTCGAACACGACAGAGACCTTATAGCAGCAATTCATGTATAGCACGTTCTGAACACGACCCCACCGTCGTGTTCAAACCGATGACGGTCGCTGTCATCGTGTCGAACACAACCGCGGTGGCACCACCCGACCCCGCTGTCGTGTTCAAGCTATAACGGTCACTGTCCTCGTGTCGAACACGAACGCAGGTCGTGTTCAAGACGATGATGGTCAAGCGCGGGCATGTGCACCACGTGCTGAACACGACCCCGTCGTCGTGTTCACCACGATGACGGTCGCTGTCATCGTGTCGAACACGACCGAGGTGGCACCCCCCGACCCCGCCGTCGTGTTCAATGCTATGACGGTCGCTCTCGTAGTGTTGAAATCGACCGCCTTCAATCTCCACCGTGCCGGTGGTAATGCTCAACAGGCGACTGTCGATCGCGGACATGTTCGCCACGAAAGCACCGTCCCGTTCAACAAGCAGGTGGTCGCTCATCGTAATCTTTAACACGACGGCAGTGGATGGTGGTGGTTGTCATACAGACACGGGCATCGATCGTGACACGACAACGGTCGAGCGCCGACATGTTGAACATGACCACGCTGTCGTGAGAATACGGTGACGGTGGCTCTCGCCGTGTGCGCCTGTCGTGTTGTGCAATGCGGTGATGCGTCGTCGTGTTCGACACGACCGTGGCGGGAGATCATCGCGTTCAACATGAAAGCTAGTCGCCGTGTCTCTCGGTCATCGCTACTGTTGAAGACTGTATTTTTCTCGCATTCACGGGCCTTACATCGGTTGTGTGTGGCTAGCGTGGCCGCGCTGAACCACATGTGTTGCACTCTACATATACCGCATGTGATCCATCTAGCTGCGGATTTGTTACTGATCTGCATGTCTTGTGCTAGTGGTCCACTATTTTGTCATCGCAGAAACGTTTTAAATGGCTTGTGGTGGGCATGCACCGCGGCAAGCTGCCAGCACAACTTTGGAAAGCATGGACTGTGTGGCATCTAATATACTGCCTAATGATGAGCTTCCTCCGCCGGACCTGCCAATGTTTTCGCAAGACGTTCAAATAACTCCAGAATCTCCTGATCATAAAAGGTCCCGGATGGCTGCGTGTGAAGAAACCACATGCGAAAGTGCATCTCCAGCCTTGGGCGGACCAGTGAAAACCTCTAATGTAGAATGTTCGGAAGGAAAGGGTAGGGCCGCTTCCAGTGACAGGAACACATCCGATGTAGATCGTATCATGTGGATGCCGAGAAGTTCGCTACGAGATTTCGAGTGCACAGGCCTTCTGTTTGGCGAGAGTGATGAAGATGGTTCAGAATCTGGTGCTTCGATGTCATCTGACGCCAACAGTTCTCCAGACAAAATTGATCATCCACAACCTTGCGATGATGATGACACTGACCACTACTGTCGCAACGGTATGGAGAGTTCTGATGTCATCTATGATTTTGATGACATTTTCCCAAAACGATTGTCGTCGGAGAAGCGTCCTTATACTTTCCGTGTCAAAATACCTCGGGCAAGGAAGATTCTGCAAACAGTTCACAAAAAGTTCACCAAAAAAGCACTGGCGATTGTGCGTGGACAAGTTTGTTGTAAACAAGATTGTTGCGCTCGCATGACCATGGAAGACATCAAAGTTGTCCGGAGTGCATATTACTGTAAGGATCACAAAAGTAGAGATGCATGGTGGGTTGAAACGTTAAAGAGGTTCACCTTCGTGGAAGATGAGAAAGAGATTGTGCAACCTATTGTGGGAAAAAGAAAGGTGTGCATTAGTGCACGGTGTTTCACACTGGGTGTGTGCTGGAATACATTTTTGAAAAAGAGGGCGACTTTGTCAAAAGGTTACATTACGCCGGAGCATGGCAGCACTGGACTCAGACACACATCTGCAACATATGTGACGATGTTCGGCAAACTAAGCTCCTTTGTGCGTGACAATAGAGATTCCATGCCCATTGACATGAGGATCAAAGATGAAGAATCACGAGTGGTTTTGAGATTGCCTGCTTGCTATAACAAGTTTGACATTTATAAGTTGTTGAAGTCACAATTTGACAACCTGGGTGTCCCCTCTGTTTCTCTCCAAGTTTTCTATAACATGTGGAGACCACACTTCTGGCATGTGAAATTTCATGAAGTTGATTAAAACTTTGCGAAATGCGAGAAGTGTGTTGAGTTCAAAGAATCTATCAATTTTGCGAAGTTCGTACGTGTGTGTGATTATTTCGTTTCGAAACGCGACAAATACTTGGACTTGCAGCTCCAACACCGTGCTGCTTATGAGGTGTGGAAGGATGAGACGAAGATACCAGGTTCCAACAGTTTATGCATCATTATTGACGGTATGAACCAAAGCAAGACGAGTATTCCTCACTTTGGCGGAGAAAACAAGTCGAAGGCATTCGCGAATATTCCAATGATGAAAACAAATTTAACAGCTATTATCGCACACGGTCGTTCACCATCGGTGCATGTTCACATATGGTACCCTTGCTATCCACATGATTCCAGTGTTGTGGTGTCATCCATTATGAGAGTCTTGCATGATATACGGGCGACAAGCGACTTACCTCCTAAATTGAAAATACAAGCCGACAACTGCTGGAGAGAAAACAGAAACAAATACGTTTTGTCTCTGGCCGCAGCTTTGGTGAAATTTGGCTTCTTCAAAGAAGTCGAATTCGGTTTTATGTTGGTAGGGCATACACATACGGACGTTGATGCCACTTTCAGTCATTTCTCTCGCAAACTGAAAATGCACGATGCTTATACCATGCTCGACCTGTTCAAACTTGTTGCCAGTTACCAAAAAGAGCGTCCTTTGTGCACATTCATGGATGAAATTGCGGGGAACTATTAAGCCCTTCCTGGTCAACAAACTGACCGGTTTTTACAAAGCCACATTTTTTCAGGTTTTATATGGAGGATGACAATCCTGTGTTCAAGTGGAAAGAGTATTGCACTTCTCCGAACTGGTCTTCTCTTGTCTATTGGTTTAAAGAGATGAAAATAAAGCATATGCTGGACCCGAATGGCCATTCGAACCTTCACCTGTTCTCCCGTCACCTATTCGACTTATTACAGAAACATCACGTGGTCAACCCGCTAAGGATAAGAATTCGGATTTCAAATCAGGAATTGAAGGCGTGAAGATGTTTGTTGAGTGGTTGGAAAACAAACGGGACGAGTGGTTGGGAATGAAAGATGAGGTTAGCTTCTCAAAGGAGAGTGCTCTTTCACACTGGAAAAACTTTCCTGGACACAATCGAGCAAAATTATGGGTCTGGCTTTGCGAAAACATCACTCAAGGCTAGCTTTTGGCCCTCGCGGGACAAAATTACGAAGGACGATGCTGAGGATATTGATATTGTCTTTCCTTTGCAGACCAATGAGAATAAGGAGCCGTTGTTTGTTGGGCCAGCCAATGAGCGTCCAAAAGCAGAGCTCGACCCGGTTGTGGATGTCGAAAAGGGTCAATTCGTTCTCTTGCGTCCTTCGCAAGATGATATCGATCAGGGGGTTCCCGTGTGGATGGGTAGAGTCATTTCTAATATTGACAATGATAGGAAGTCGCCTGCTTTCAATCATGTTCTTATTGAATATTGGGTGTCATAACCTGTCATCAAAAATCTTTCTCTGCAATATGCAAATGCATGGAAGAAGGTATGGAAGAAAGACAGCACAACAGCACAGCAGTGGCAGCACGTGAACTGTGTTTTGTGGAGCTGATCATCAAGGATGTTGCATCTGGAAAATGGAGTGCACATTCCCAAATCGGTCAGAGAGAAAGCCTTGGCATGTCTTTCACTTCCAGATGATGAAGATCAATAGGATAAGTCGCTGAGAAAGCCTCATTTCGTGCGTGTTGGTGTACCATTTACTTGTCATTGAGTCCATTCATATATAGTTAAACTATATATCATTGGCTTGCCTTTTACTTCTCTATGATGAAGATTAATAGACTTTAAGTACGTCGTTGAGAAGAGGTAATCATATTTCATTCGAGTGTATTGCAGTATCAATTAGTTGTCATTGAGCTTTTGTATTTCATGTTTTGCAGAATGGTTCATTCAACGACTGGATGGCCGCCAAGCAATATGGTGTGGGGCAGAAACGTATGGCATGATATGGGGTCTATCTTTTTCACACCTGAAGTGGTTTTCGAGGGTGCAGTACTCAGTGTCAGAGGTGTGGATGTCACACCGGATTGCTGGGAGCATTATCCTCGACAATGTTTGTATATTTGTGGTCGTAGGTGTTGTGGAACAAGAGAATATCCGCGAGAAGTGCTCGCACCATATTCAGAATTGTACTATTCAGCAGTGAAGTTCTACCACAACAACTTCAAGGTGATGACTTTGTACTGTGCAGCGTCAAGTATCCAAGGGCGCTGCAAACTTTCTTTTCTTATTCATAACGATCATTCTACAAGTGCAAACATATCCAATGCACATGACATCAACGGACGAAGACGGGAAGCATTTGGAAGGAGGATCATGGACCAACCATCGCTCAAAGCACTCTTGGATGGGCTCGTGGACACAACGATTACATATGTACGAAGTCTTCTGCTGCGAGAGTATGAAGTTATAGAAACTTACGTAGAGTACAAGGACCCCACGTTCGATGGGCACAATGAGACGAGCACTGTAGAAGATTTGACAATTCACATGAGGAGAGCGTGAAATTTATCACGCTGATCGTGTTAATATGTCCATTACGTACTTAGATCTGATTCAAGTAGCCTTAGAATATCGTTTTGAAGTGTTATTTATCAGTGCCTAAAAGTCGATTTCAATTATAGTCAACTTTGACGAAGATTTTGACAATGTGTAATTTTAAGACTTCATAGACGCACCATTGAGATGATGTAAGTGGCACTGCTTTGCTTTTAATATAATTGCCAATGGACTTTTGCATTAAATTTTCCTTCCACGGTCTCCATATGAAGGGTGTTTTTATAGTTTGTAGCAACTTAAGGTCTAAGACTTGGACTTTGGAGAGTTGCTCTTTGTTTAAATGTGTCATGGGTTTTACAAATTTTGCATATCTTCTTTCCTTCGCATATGATGTCATTTTTTTCGTTTATATTCTAATCATTTCGACACTTCTCTGCTCCAGGTTTACATTGTGCCGGAATATTAAAATCCTATTTTTTTTGTTCTACAATTTACCTTTTGTTCGGTTACTTCGTTAATTTCATTATGTTCACTTTTTACAAAACATTTCATTTTTAACGAAAAAGTCGTTCTTTCTACTTCTTCTTTTTCTTCTTCCTCCCCCCTTCTTCCTCTTCTTCTTCTTCGTCCCCCCTTCTTTCTCTTCTTCTTCTTCTTCTTCTTCTTCTTCTTCTTCTTCTTCTTCTTTATTTTTTTTGGCATAGCCGAAGTTTCTGACGCCCAAAGAGAGAGAGAGAGAGAGAGAGAAAGAGAGAATTGGTTCCCGCCGCCACGTCATCGTCGCCGTCATTGTTGTCACCAAGAAGAGAGAGAGAGAGAGAGAGAGAGAGAGAGAGAGCTAGTTCA